GAAGCCTCTATTTCCTGATGCGGTTCCACTCTCACACATATACCATCGAGGATCTTATCCAAAGGGCGTTCAGCCCGTTACAGCTATTACTTACAATATATACCTACTTATTTACTACTACACTACAAACTATTATTAATTCTAATATCTATAGTAGGCCCTTCTAACCTATGTTGTCAAATCCTGGACGTACGTGACCTAATCACGTGACTAGTCGCGTATGTAACTACAGCCACGTGATTTACTATCATGTAAAACTTAGGTTATGTCCCTACCGTAGCCATTTATAGACATTACGAGCGCAACGCAAGATTACACTTTTAAAACTACGAGATATAAAAGCTACGCACGAAAAGTATATGTTAGCTTATTCTTAATCTGCTACTGCAGTTTGAAGTAGTCATGTTGCAGTGGGAGTTTTGCTTATAGTGACTCTGCTCAGGTCTTTCCTGCGCGTCAGCCTTACCCAAGGCTTAACACTCACTAGTGATTAACATTCCTGTTCGATCATTGCATTAGCTCCTACTGTCTTTACTGGCTGCATCTCATCACCGGATGATATCTGGATCTGAGTTCGTACTGTGATGTTTCCCCCATCCTCCGTCTTTATCGAGTGCTCTTCGACAGGCCTTTCAGCCTGAACCCAGCAACCAGCACTATCCTTCCCTAGCAGTTCGTACTCATCACATTCATGCTTCGGTTTTTCTAGTCTATTCTCCGACCTAAGGATCCTTACATCGCGCTCGTTGGTGTGATTCGAACCCAGGCTCTTTCCGAAACGTGATGCCCAAGGTAGTAGGTCAATTATCGGTCTGAGCGAAGGAAGACAGATACAGACAACGCCCATACAGTTTTCCACTGCACTCCAGACAACAGAGTTTGACACTGTCCAATTTGCAAGAAATCCGTTCATATCTAGGTGGAGTAAATCTACAAGGCGTATAATAGATGCGACCAAGACACTGTTTAACAGATTCCTGTTAGCGTTTGCCCTGAAAGTTTCCGTTCTGACCAATAGGAAAAAGCAAGACTCACAAGCTACCGAGCAAGAAGAACCCCATCACAAAAGTCTTTTGCGTTAAAGTGATTTTCAAGCTCCAGACATAAGGTGCAGGGAGGGCGAGTAGGAATACATCAGCTAGAATATTGGGAACAGATGTGCCGAAGAAGAAGGGCACCAACTCTACGCATTTCGCAGAGCTTTTCAAGGCTGGTGTCCAGAGAGCGGCAACGGGAATACATTGGAAGGCTGTGACTAGGATCTGCAAATACATGTAAGGTTAGTGTAACCTTTGGAGAACTCTGATATGTGTTCAGCCAGCATCATTTGTAATGTAAGTTTAGTGCCAAACAGGTATTATTATTATTATTCCATTATAGTCCTGTATCAGCCGTTGGCTATGTAGGACTTTGGCCGACGGCCGTTCTAT